TCGGGCTTACATGCTGATTGTTTTAAGTCCGTTCCGCATGTGACGTTGTGCTACAGGAATGAACTCCCTTAGACTTGATGCTACAACTTCGAATATGTAGACTTCGCCATTGTTATGGGAATAGGCTACCCAGCAACGTGTTTTAGACGCTGACTTATCTCTACTTAGGCTTCGGGATAAAATTCCCCAGAATCGAACTCTGGTGTCTTTTTCTTCGGAGAAAGACTAAACCGGTGACGCGTGTTAGGCGTCGGCATATCCTTTCTTAAGATTCGGGATGAAATTCCCCATGCTTGTAAGGCATGGATTCTGGTGTTATTAATAACAACCTGTCACAATGGGAACTATAACATTACTATGGATCCAAGGCCGGCCCAGTAGTAAGTTATATGATGTCTCAGCATCAATCACATAACACGTGACTTCCGTCCTCAGATCGCCCATTTGGCACTTTATCCGGATCTTTCCCAAAGGTCTTAACCCGCTGGTGTTGAATCCGTAAATGACCGTGCCTGTGGACGCCAACTTGCTGACCGGAATGCCAAGGCTATGCATAAGGCGAAGCGGAATAATACTCACAGCGGAACCCGGATCCACTTGGATTCGGTTGACTTCGCTGGAGCCAATGTATCCGATAAAATACAGCGATCGGTCGTGGTTCGAATTCTTCGTCTGCATGTCCTCTTTGGTGAAGGTAATGCAGGGAAGGTTTTTAGTAGCTATGTTGCAATGTTGACTCAGCAGTTCCGGCTGTTCAGGTACTGGCTTGACTTGAGTCAGGAACACTTCTGAGTTGGCCAAAGCTTCTTGCAAGGCCTCCCTGGTTTCCTTGGACAACCGCAGCAATTCATATAGTGTTATCCGTGCTGGAATGTTGGCTAGTTGAGCCATTATATCGAAGGCTTGCGGAGTCTTCGAGCTTTCCGGTTTGTCTTTTCCAATCGGGCGACTGAAACGAGACTGCTTCGGATTCTGAACTTCCTGGGGATTCTTTGGGACTCGTAATCACCCACATCTCTGTGAGAGTTTTGGCTGGTCCCCGTTTGTTCACCCCCTGCTCACTAGGTGGCGGATAATTGTAGTGATACTCATTTCCGCTCCGTGTCGCAAAAACTTCTTGTTCTTCTTCGGAGAGCGGGAAAGCTAGGATTCTTTCGTCATCTTCCCCTGGGATAGCAGAGACTCCACAGCAAGACTTTCCTTTCCCTTTGGACTTTTTCCCAGATGACGACCCGGCCCATTGTTCATCTTCAATCAGATCGGGGTGAACCCAGAGGATTTCGCCGTTTGGGGCTGTGTGTGGAACAAGCCCTTTTTGGCGTTGTCCATGTGGGTCATCATTCACCGTCTTCATTCCCACCTTGGTGACGCGTTTCGGCTCGAACCATGTTGTGGGCACCGATCCAAAGCTGATTGACACTGTGTTTGCTCCCACATTCTTAGCAGGCTTCGGGGTTATGACACCCACATCAATTAGCGCCTGGATTTTGTCCTTGAGGTGGTAACACGACTTGGTAGGGTGATGGACCGCTCTATGGTATGCGCAATACTTCGGATCCGTCAATTTGTTAGCCCCTTCTTGATCCACGATCGCTGGCAGCTGAATTTTGTTGTTCTCCAACAAGTACTTGAAGATGCCGGGAACTTCATCATCTTTGAAGGAGTACACTTTGGAAAATCTTGGCTCTGAAGACTTCTGCTTTTGAGGCCGTTGTTGCCATTGTGACTGCGATTGTTGTGGCGCTCGTTGTTGCTGCCGCTGAATTGGAAAGTTTGATTAGCATTAACTGCATTAGCATGTGCCTTACCTTTCCCCCGTGGGACGAAATTCTGTTGTGGAGCATTCGTCGCCTGTTGGCCTCTCTCTGCCTTCTTCCTTCTTAGGAATCGCTCGGCTTGCTCTCCTCGGACCTTCAGATCCTTCCATGTTTTGGATGGTGCTGTCCTCATTGCTTCCAACACGTCCAGTGCGAGGTTGTTGTGGCAAGTCTGGAGGATGAATTCCTCGGTGATCGGGTCCCGACAGTTCATCGCCTTGTTCCGGAACCTCTTGACGAAGGTGTCCACCAATTCCCCGTCTTTCTGTTTCTCATCAAGCAACGATCCAATGGATATCTCTGTGTCGTCGTCGAAGAAGTTGGCGAGGAATTTGGTCTCTATGTCATCCCAGCTATTCACGCTACCAGGCTTGAGGCGGCGATACCAATCGAAGGCGGCTCCGCGAAGAGTGCCGACGAATGACCGCACCATCAAAGGCTCATTACCGGAGATTACTCCCAAGTGTGATTTGAAGTAAATCAAATGTTGAGTGGGCGAACCCATCCCATTAAACGGCGTGAAGTTAATTAAGTTGAACTTCGCCGGATATGGGATTGATTCCCACTCTCTTGGGTATGGACACGGAATACCTGTTTTCTTCATCTCTTGAGCGGAAATCAATGTATTGATTTTGCTCTCGAGATTTTTAATCTTCAAGTTTTCACATGTGTTTTCGCTAGCATTCTCATTACCACCCCCTGCATTGACGGGAGGATTATTGGCATTATGCGTCTCATTCGCATTAGAGGATTATTGGTATTACGAGCTTCATTCGTATCCTCGTCTTCCAGATTAACCGGGTTACGACGACTTGGCTCTCCTTGCTGGTTCGTCAATGCTTGGATTTGTTGGTCATGCATTTCTCTCATGTTTTGCATGGCCATCTGCATTTCGAACCTGAAGGTTTCCTGTTGTTTAGCTAAGGCGTCTTCAAGCATTTTGGCCACTTGCTCCGCACTTATCATAAGTGCCTCGCGGGGTTGTCCCTCGCTGGATACTGTATTATCTGATGCGACCGCAGAGCCGGCATCAGATTCTTCATCTTCTGAAGGGAGCCTTGTTCGAACCCTACCATAGGTTGCTCGCTTGATGGTTCCAGACTACAAACGGGTTCTAGGCCGGAATGCTTTCAGAATCGACTCGAAATTATCTCGCGTCGATGTTCCTCTGCTGGTCATATTGGTGGTGATCCTCGGAAATTCTCCCTCTTCAACCACCGTTCTTCTTCGTCGGAAACGCCTAGGCCTTGTCTTCGGCGTTTCGGTACTGAGCCTTTCGAAAACCGAAACTCATTCGGGGACCGCCTTGATGCAGCTGCATTCAGACAATACTGCCCGAATGAGTTTGGAACAGGGGCACTGAGTTTCCTGTTCTCGGGGACTCCTTTTCCTGGTTTTATTCGTACCCCCAGCACGATAGTACAACTCGTCATTTTGACAGTCAGAGTAACCTATCGTGTGCGGGCACGCCTTCTCAGGTACAACACAATCATTATCAGATGATAATGTTTCCATCTGAGGGAGAATTGCCTTCCTTGGACTTTCAAGAGTCACGCGCCTTGAGACATGCCTTTTTGGGCGTGAATTCTCAGCGGGCTCTTGGACCTCAATGCGCAAATTAGCGCGCGCAGTTGCCTTGTCATGTTGGAGGTGACGGCGACCCCCAGCATGTTGCGTCGTCCGGGGCTTCTTCATCGGGCCCAAACGATCTTGGACAGGAGCTTTGCCTCTCTCGTCGGGAATCGGACCGAGGCGCTCCAAGACTGGCTTCTTCCTTTGGGACGATTTTGCATGATCTCCCGGAGAAGCTATTGGGATTACCGGCGACTTTGGTTGATTCACCGGAGGTTGAACTTTGGTTGGAGGCTGCTTCGGCCTCCACACTTGGCGGGTTGATGGCGGCTTCTTGGCCACTCTTTCTTTCTTCAATTCCTCGGCCTTCTGCACGAGGATTCTTGCTTGTGCAAGTAAGTCGCGGCGTTTGTGAATCCGCTCCTCGAGTGTCGAACGGTTCCGTTTGACCCGGATCCATTCGTTCGTTGGCGGCTTTGAGGAACCGCCATCCTTCAATTGTTGAGGCTGTTTGCCTCTCCTGTTCTTTAGATCTGCGTTGTAGCGGACCCCGTCCGTGGACTCCATCGCTTTGGCGAATTGCCGCGCAAGGCGTTGACGTCGCC